ATAGGAAAGGGAGGGTTCGGAGAGATCTACTTATGCCGTCGCGAAGGGGACCGACAGGACGGGTATGTCGTGAAAGCAGACAACTTCGACGGCCCCCTCTTCGCCGAAATGAATTTCTACTTACGAGTGGCCAAAGAGGAGACAATCGACGCGTTTGTAGCCAAACATAGGCTACCGTTCCTCGGGATGCCTCGCTATGTGGCCAATGGTATACACGACACGACGAGCGCCTGTAGTAATGTCTTGAATCGAGAGGTGAAGTTCCGGAGCCAACAGAAGCCGCACCGCACGGGACCTACACTTCAGTACCGGTTTCTAGTGATGGAGAGGTTTGGTCCGGAGTTGAGCCAATCGGTGGCCAAACACCAGTTGACAGCACCGGATGCCGCACTCATCGCCGCCAAAATGATCGGTATTTTGTGTTTTTTAGTGTATTTTTGAAGACTTTTATCCTAAATGTGTGGTAACTGTTCCCTACAGACGTCCTGCACTACATCCACACCTTTGGCTACATTCACGCCGACATCAAAGGCGCGAACATCTTGAGGTCGATTACCGCGAAGTCTAAGACTTCGGACTACTATTTGGTCGACTTCGGACTGGCGGACAGGTATTGCGATAAAGCGCGGGTCCATCGCGACGACAAACCGGACAAAAAGCGGGCCAACAATGGGACGGTTGAGTACCGGTCCCGCGACGCCCACCGGGGGCTCATCAGCAGGCGCTCCGATATTGAGTGCTTGTCGTATAACCTCATTGAGTGGCTCTACGGGCGCCTCCCGTGGATGGACAGCCTGTCCGACGCCAACAAAGTGGAGACCAAGAAGGAGAAGGCGATGGCAGACATCGACGGCTTTCTCAGAGATTGCTTCCAGAAGTCGGTTCCAATCGGACTCAAAGAGTTTCTGCACGAAGTGAATGGAATCGCTTACAACTCTGAACCAAATTATGGTGATCTCAAGAAGATATTGACCGAAAAGGTGTCGAAAAATAAGACAATTGTCGCCAAAAATGTTGGGAAGATTGACAGCGACGCCGACACGTCCGCCGACGACGAGTCCGACGATGAAGAGCCCAGACGTCCGAAAAGGAGTCGAAAGCCGACCAAAAGGCCGACCACTAAGAAGTCGCCGCAGAAGCGGAAGAATGCGAGCAAAGGAAGTAATGGTAAGCTTAAGAAGCGAGAGATTCCGGTCGTGGATGTGAGCGACGACTCCGATGACAATAAGGCGTCCAAAAGTCCGCCCAAAAGGTCTCGAATGGCGGCCATTAAGTCAGACTATCACTTAATGACTCCCAAGAATGGCACTAAAGGCCGCCCTTTGAGGACAGTTAGCACTCCGTTGCTGTTCGCCGAAGAAGAGGACAGTTTCGGTGAACCCGTTGCCAGTGCTGGTGATGGCAGTGGGAGTGGGCGTCGAAAGTACCGCAAGAGTACAATATATTACACACTCAACGGGTCGTTGACTGACTTGAGTGGTACGGGCGATGAGGCGCCGACAGCACCGGCAGAGACGGACGCCATGAAAGCCGTGAGAATTCAGATGAAGACATCGAAAGCACCGGTAGTTAACTCATCGGCAGAGATAGAAACGGATGCCATGAAAGCGATTCGCGTCTTGAAACAGATGAAGGAATTGGAGAAACAGACGAAGAAAAAGGCGATCAAAAAGTAATGAAATGTTTTTAATTGTAATTATTTTCCATTCATTTTCTAATCTGTTTTTTAAAGAGTAATTCATTTTAAGTTTTTGTCATTGATTTATGCATTTTATACTATATTTTGCGATTATTAGAGGTTTGATAATATTTTTGAACATTATTTCTCATTTTAATGAATTTAGTGAACATTTATCTGTTAGTAAACTGAGAAAATGCTATAAAAGGGTTTGTATGTAATTTTTTAACACAAATGCCATACCCTTTGCTGTAAGATATTTATTGTTATGAAAACATTTATTATTCATTTATTGCTGTAATTATTTTTCTGATGTTTGATAAATCAATGTATTTCTAATACTTTATAAGTAACAGTAATTAAAATTCATTTATTTTGAGTTATATTTAGTGTTTTTCATAGTTATTTATACCGGTACAAATTTTTAAAAATTATTTTTAGCCTATCATTAAATATACAAATATTATTAATTCATTTGAAATTACTTTTGAATGTTTTCCTTACAAACATTAAACTTAACAAAAATAGTGTTTATTTGAGTTAATCCTTGAAAACGCCGAGTATTTTGTGATAATATTTACGCAAACTTTGAGATTAGAGTCGATGGTGTCGTGTCTTGTGGTGCAATGATAGGGATGTGTTTCAGTGATCGTCATGTGAGGACATCCAACTCCACACGTGATCGCTGTGTCTGTACTCACTGAACGTATGCCTTGTGGTGAGTGTCGTGAACGTGAGGCTGGCCAACAGCACCGACACTATCCATAGGACGCAATGATAGTCACTGATCGTGGCCTCCGTGCGCACCAATCGATGGCATATCACTGTCTGAATGACCGCATAGGCGATCAATGCGATCATAAACACAGTCAGTAGGCTGTCGTCGTAGGTGTGGGCGCCGATGGAACCGATGACTCCAATGCTGGAGAATATAAGAGTTGATATAGTATAAAATGCA